AAGTAATATTGCGATAACGATTAATATTGCGATAACGATAAATAAAAAATTAAAAAAATTTTTTTTTTATATAAAATTATATTAAAATTTATATTACGGTTAATTAACCAAATCTTAATTAACCGTTAATTTCCCATCCCTACTTGCATACTTTGTCGTTAGCCACAGTATAAATAACGCGTGATGTCATTACATTTTTTTTCATGTCGAATTCCTTCCCAAGCAATGTCTCAAAGTAAAGTTTAGAAATTTTCAAATACATTTTAAATAAAAGAAACTTTTAAACTTAATATTCATATTTATTAGGCTTAGATCTTGCTAATCTTCCTGAAAAATATAAAGAGCGTATGCTCGAAAGGAGGAGGACTCATGGGTTTGTCTTTTGTCTTTATTTTGAACCTGAAGAATTTTGACAAGGTTTTAATACTACTTTATGTTATAGAACTCGTAGGACAACTTTTAGAAATTTTAAAATAACCTTACCCCCTAAAGTTGGTAACACTAGCAATGATATAGAAGACGAAGATGACGAGCAAATAGGCAAGATTTTTTAATTTCATTATGATTGCAATTATTTGTTAAGTTGTCATTAAGATTTGTATTATATTATGAATAGAAGATTCAACACCGATAACTAAAATTTCAAATAAATGGGATCTTACACATGCATCTATAAATTCACCTATAAGTCCTTCAGGTTCAACAATGGATATTGATACTCTTAATGTTGGTAAAATTGTTGAAATCGTGTCTTCAAATAAATATATTGATGACAACGACGAGCATATAGGTAAGATTTTTATTGAATTAAATTGATATAATCATAATTGCATTTATATCGAATTTTTTCATTATGTTTCATGATTAGATATATCACAGGTTCCAAATAATCATTTACCTACTAGTCCTTCACTTACTAGTACTTCAGGCTCGATGGATATTGATACTCTTGATGTTGGTAAAATTGTTGAAGTTAATTCTTCAAATATATATGTTAATGGCGACGATAATGATGATGACCATGGGCAATTAGGTAAGATTTTTAATTGATTTAATCATTTACGTATTGAACTTTTCCATTAAGCTTTTGTATCATTTTTACGAACAGAGGTAGCACCAACAACTAATATAGGTAAAACCATCGAAATTGTGTCTTCAGAGAATGACGACGATGAAGAGCGAATAGGTAAGAATTAATATTTACTCTTAATTTAACTTAAATGTTGGATTCTTCATTGGGCTTTGTATCGTTTTATAGATTCAACACCAAGAAATTATACTGATAAACCCGTCGAAATTGTGTCTTCAGAGAACGATGAAAATGGCGACGGTGAGTAATACTTTAGAATTAATTTATTTGATAATGATTGTACTTGTGCATATATATAACATCATCAACTAATGTTGGTGGAACTTCAAAATCATTTCTTTAGAGAATGATTACGATGACGACGATGAACAAATAGGTAAGATTTATTGATTTATGTCAAATTTGTGTTTACGTGTTGAATTTATTGAGAATTATTGTTTTCATGAACAGATGCAACACCTGTCATAATTGTGTCTTCGAAGAGAAAATATGATGACAATAATGAGCAAATAGGTAAGATTCTATTAATTCACCAAATCTATATGTTGAACTTGTCATTTAAACTTTATATCATATTTACGTATAGGAACATCTTCGACGATAGAGAATGACGACGAAGATGATGATGATGAGCAGATTGGTAAAATTTTATTGAATTATTGAATTAAACAGTTATTGCATTTATGTGATTTTATTGTATCGTTTTATGAATAGATATAACATTAACAACAAATAATCGTGATCTTGTGCAAGGTGAAATTGGTGACGCTATCAATGATATCATCAAAGAATTTTTGTAAGTAGATTTTTTTTATTTTATGAATTTTGTTATAATAATCTTAAGCATATCCTTGTGTGATTTTTAGGATCGAGCTGGGTAATAAATCATTTAAGAAAGAAATTCAACACTTAAATAAAGAAATCGAATTACATTTGCTTGAGCAGGTTTGATAATATTATCATATTTTTACAATTTATATAGTTTATATCGTATCTTTTTACAACTTATTTTATTTTTTATTATTTAGTCTGAACTTGTTAATGAACAAATAAAGCTGCAATCATCTTTAAGGAAATCCAAATTGCGAATTAATCATTTGAGAAAAGAATTATTGGATATTCAGCGTGAACGTGATAGCGTTTGTAAAGAATTGGCTAATGAAAGAAGAACTTTTGCAAAGGAAGAACAAGACAGAAAGGTTTGTCAAATAAAAAATCAAATTGGATGGAATTATATTATTTAATACTTTATTTATTAAATTAATTAGAAACTTGAACAAGCGCATAACTTCCTCACGGATCTTGAGACATTACGTGAGGCTGCTGATGCTGAAGAAAATATGCAAGATGAAGAAGAAATATTGGTATGTGAATCCTCCTTGATTATTTTTATTTCTTTAATATAAATAATTAAATAATTTTTACTTATATAGGATGGCTTTAAGGGCTTGTTAGTATCCGTTACATCTCGTTGTAGTGATATTTCACTTTCATCATCCAATGCTTCAGCTCAGAAAGATTTAACAAAAGGAAAAGTTTCATTAGAAAAGGCTTCTGGAAGTTTGGGTATATTATGTCGGTTCAATATGTTGCTTGAAGTGTGTGAAAAAATCATCAGGCAATAAAAAATAATATTTAATGAAGAGTGATTCCTAATTTGTATTACTATAATTCACCGTGTGCAGTTCTGTTACGAGTGTCACGGGACAAACTAAATATATTAAAATGTATAATATGAATATCTGTTAAAATGGTTTCTTTAAATAAATCTTCTTGTTTAATCAATTATTTATGCAAACTTAATTTTTTCCATTTACATTGAAATTATTTATAGATTTATATTTTTATAATAGTAATATAAAGATTTAAAGATAAATATCTTATAAATGATTTAATATATTATTCAAAGCTAAAATAAATTATAAAAGAAATGATTTATAATTATTAAGATTTATTTTAATATTAATAGTTTTGATAATATTAAAATTGAAGATTATATTAAAGTTAATAATATTAAATCTGTTAATAATATTAAACTTGAAAATATAAAAATTGATAATTATATTAAATTTAATGCTGATAATTTTATATTTAATAAAATTTTTAGAATACTAAAAATTCTTAAATTTTTTAATTTAATAAAAGTAAATATTTTTAAATATAACTAAAAATTAATTATATATAAAATTTTAAGAATATTATAGAGTTTATAAAAATAATTAATAATATTAAAGTAATAATTATTAGCATTAACATAATTTTAAAAGCTTAAATACTATATATACATTTTTTATTTTAGTAAAGAAATTCAAATAAATAATTAATTTAAAAATTTAATTGAAAATTTTGTTAAGTAAAAACAATCTCAAATAATTATAAGTTAATATTTTAATTAATAATTATTTTATTAAATAAAGAATAATAAAATTTTACTAATTTATAAAATAATAAATTATTTTGGTATTTTATAAATTTTTTTTATAAATGTAAATTTTTTATAAATATTATCTTATTTATAAATAGTAATCATAAATAATAATTATATTTTATATTTTAATACTATAAATCATTAAATTATTTAAATGATTTTAAATAATCTTTTAAAATTTTAAGATTATTTACTAATTCTTTTTAAATTATATTAATTTTTTAAAAAATTTTTTTAATTTAATATAAAAAATTGAAGCTTTCTAAATAATGCCTATACATTTTACATATCATATTTATGTAATAATAAAATTATATCATAATGCAAAATGTTTATATTTCTACTATCTTATTATTTTTAATTAATTTTTCTTATTCTAATTTTAACTTTAAAGTAATGTTAACTTAATTTAATAGCTTATCATAATTCTAAAGTAACGTTAACTTAATTTAACATTTTTATCCTAACTTTAAGATAATGTTAATTCATTTTAACTCTTTAATTAATACTAATCCTTTAATTTTTCATAAAATTAACAAAAAACAAGGAAATATAACACATTTTAATCTGATTTTAGACAGTAATATTTAACAGTATTTTTATATATATAATATTCATATTTATTATTAAAGTTCTGAATATATTAGGTCAAATCAGATACTTTACTTTATTAAATCTAAAATATTAGGTTAGATCAGTCACAGGTTAGGTTATGTATTACATTGAAAAAATTGAAAAAACAGTTTTTTGAAATATTTTAATTTCTAGTAATTCAAAATAAACAAAATACAATTCATTAGATTGTCTCTATGTGATAAATTGAATAAAATAGTAGTTATTACTTTTTATATAGATAAATATTGACAGTTATACCCATTTTATATTTATATATAAATTTATAATACATGTTCTAAAATTTTATATAGTAAAATTAAACAAGCTATATCTTAGCAACCTAGATTCAAAATAAATTAAATATAGCTTATTTGATTTGTTTTTATGCGAAAATTTAAATAATACAATCAACTTTTTCTACAACGAATTTTAATATAACAAATTTTACAATACAACGGATTTTCAGTGTCAGACAGATTTTTAAATATAAAAAAACCCTTACTATACCGAATTTAATAATTAAAAATTCATACTACGTTTAATGAATTAAAGTCAGAAAAATTTATATATAAAATGACTCTCTTTATAATGAATTTTCTCTATAACGAATTTTTTTTTGA